ACTTGCTTAGTTTGTTTCCTTGCAGCGTAGAAGGAAAGTTAGGGATCACTGTAGGAAACAATCGGGGTCAGCTAATACCTCCCAACAAAGGATTCCCCCGGGCAGGAAGCAGCCAGACTTTGAAGCTGCAAGGCCAATCAACAGCTACTCTGGCCAGAGTGAAGACAGAGGGAAGCAGAAGACACTTCCATCTTGTTTTTACTAATAATATAATATAGTATATTGTATATACATATAATTATAATATTATAATGTATACAATATAATACTAGTAATAATACAATATTATAATTATATATTTACATTACATGTAATATTACTAATAATATTACAATATAATGGTATAGTGCAATATAGTAATATATAATACTGATATTGTACTATGCTAACAATCTAAGTCCCCTTCGGGGTGAGAAGGGTGGCATATAAATGCTGTAAATAAATAAATAATATTTATTTATATTTAAAACATTTATATTCCGCCCTTCTCACCCCGAAGGGGACTTAAGGCGGAGCACAGCATATATATGGCAAACATTCAATGCCGGGACACAAATTCTTATTTATCAAAATATTAAAATACACCATTTAAAACCGTCCTAATCAAGGTGACCTATTGCAACAGTGACACTTACCTCAAACATACAATAGTTCTTTCTCTCACCGTGGACATTATTCCACAGATATATAAACCTCACATGCCTAGTTTCCAACAGACCTCACAACCTCTGAGGATGCTTGCCATAAATATGGGCAAAATGTCAGTAAGGAATGCTTCTGGAACATGGCCAAGTGCCCAGAAAACTCACAGCAACCCAATGATTCTCCAGAGTTTTTTTTTAAACCCTATATGTATTGGTTGGAGATTTGTGGATTCGCTTTTCAAAACTAACTTTTTGCAATAATTATAATTATTCCTTTTAAAGGCAGATTTAGAACTACAAGCTTCTTGTAAGTGGTGACATCCTGTGGGTAGGAATAATATTGCCACTAAAATCCTATATGAGCTGTTGGGAAGTCATGGGAGTTGTAGTTTGTGAGGCTCCAGCAAAACTACAGCTCCCAGGATTCCACAGCATTGAACCGTGGCTGTTAAAGTGGTATCAGAGTGCTTCAGAAAGGATGCCGTTCTAGTCCTGAACCGGTGTCTGCCAGCAGCAATGGACTGGATGAGGCACAACAAACTGAAGCTAAATCTAGACAAGACAGAGGTACTCCTGGTCAGTCATAAGGCAGATCAGGGTGTGGAATTTCAACCTATGTTGGGGTCACACTTCCCCTGAAGTTCCAGGTCTGCAGTCTAGGGTTTTGTTTTGGGTTTTTTTGTCGTGTCAGGAGCATCCTGTTGTGAGAGAATTGGCCGTCTGCAAGGACGTTGCCCAGGGGACGCCGGATGATTTTTTGATGTTTTATCATCCTTGTGGGAGGCTTCTCTCATGTCCCCGCATAAGGAGCTGGAGCTGATAGAGGGAGCTCATCCGCCTCTCCCGGATTCGAACCTGCGATCTGACGGTCTTCAGTCCTGCCAGCACAGGGCTTTAACCCACTGTGCCACCGGGGGCTCCAGGGGTGATCCTGTACTAATTGCTGACCCTGGAACCCCAGGTGTTGGTGGTAGCCAGGAGTGCCTTTGCACAGTTAAAACTTGTGCGCCAGCTGCCCCATACCTTGAGAAGCCAGATTTGGCCATGATACTCCACATCAGTGTTTCTCAACCTGGGGGTCGGGACCCCTAGAGGGGTCGTGAGGGAGTGTTGGAGGGGTCGCCAAAGACCATCAGGATACACAGTATTTTCTGCTCGTCATGGGGGTTCTGTGTGGGAAGTCTGGCCCAATTTTATCGTTGGTGGGGTTCAGAATGCTCTTTGGTAGTAGGTGAACTATAAATCCCAGCAACTACAACTCCCAAATGTCAAGGTCTATTTTCCCTGAACTTCACCAGTGTTCACATTTGGGCATATTGAATATTGGTGCCAAGTTTGATCCAGGTCCATCATTGTTTGAGTCCACAGTGCTCTCTGGATGTAGGCAAACTATTGAAGAACTACAACTCCCAAGCTCAAGGCCAATGCTCACCTACCCCTTTCATTTTTTGCTAATCATGGGCATTCTGTGTGCCAAGTTTGGGTCAATTCCATCATTGGTGGAGTTCAGAATGCTCTTTGATTGTAGGTGAACTATAAATCCCAGCAACTACAACTCCCAAATGACAAAATCAATCCTCTCATCCCAACTCCACCAGTATTCGAATTTGGGCATATTGGGTATTTTTGCCAATTTTGGTCCAGTGAATGAGAATACATCCTACATATCAGATATTTACATAACGATTCATAACAGTAGCAAAATTACAATTATGAAGTAGCAATGAAAATAATTTAATAGCTGGGGGTCACCACAAGATGAGGAATTGTATTAAGGGGTCGCGGCATTAGGAACGTTGAGAACCACTGGTCCACATCTTAATCACATCCCGTTTGGACTACTGCAACACTCTCTATGTGGGGCTGCGTTTGGGGATAGTTTGAAAGCTGCAATTAGTACAGAGAGCGGGGGCCAGATTGCTAACTGGAGCACCATATTGAGAGAGGATGATTCCCATGCTGCGGCAGCTCCACTGGCTGCTGTTCCGCTTCCAGTCTAAAAACAAAGTGCTGGTCATCTATATAAATAAAAATGCAATGTTCGTTTGTGGGATTAATATAACTCAAAAACCACTGGACGAATTGACACCAAATTTGGACACAATACAACTATCAGGCCAAATGAGTGATCATCACGCATAAAAACACTGAAAAACACAGCAGAAGGGACTTAAAAAGCAAAAAAACCCCAAAAGTTACATTACAACGCATGCTCAAAACCACATATATACACATACATGCATATATACACATATACACACACAAAACACATATACAGAGACTGGGCCACAGCAACGCGTGGCAGGGGACAGCTAGTTACCTATAAAGCCCTAAACAGTTTGGGTCCAGGCTATTTCTCTAATCACATATTCCTATACAGACTATCCCGTCCACTGCGGTCAATGGAAGAGGCCCTCTTGTTCCTACCTCTCCTATATGAAACATCTAAAAACGTACCTATGCACTTTAGCATATGGAGAGGAGGACTAAGACACTTTTAACCACTTGGAATGCTGGCTAGACCCACTTGTACTATATTTATTTATTTATCGTGTCAGTATCAACCAGACACTTGTACTATATGGCTGCCATAATACATTTTAAATAAACACTGGCGCCAGCCATTTTTAATGTAACTGTATTTAAGGTATTTGTTGTAATGTATTGTCGAAGGCTTTCATGGCTGGAATCACTAGGTTCTTGTGGTTTTTTTCGGGCTATAGAGCCATGTTCTAGAGGCATTTCTCCTGACGTTTCGCCTGCATCTATGGCAAGCATCCTCAGAGGTAGTGAGGTCTGTTGGAACTAGGAAACAGGGTTTATATATCTGTGGAATGACCAGGGTGGGACAAAGACTCTTGTCTGCTGGAGCTAGGTGTGAATGTTTCAACTGACCACCTTCATTAGCATTTGAAGGCCTGGCTGCAAGGAGCAATCTTTTGTTGAGAGGTGATGAGATGTCCTTGATTGTTTATTCTCTGTTGTTTTGCTGTTTAATTTTAGAATTTTTTAATACTGGTAGCCAGATTTTGTTCATTTTCATGGTTCTTCCTTTCTGTTGAAATTGTCCACATGCTTCTTGTGGATTTCAATGGCTTCTCTGTGTAGTCTGACATGGTGGTTGTTTGAGTGGTCCAGCATTTCTGTGTTCTCAAATAATATGCTATGTCCAGGTTGGTTCATCAGGTGCTCTGCTATGGCTGACTTCTCTGGTTGAAGTAGTCTGCAGTGCCTTTCATGTTCCTTGATTCGTGTTGGGGCGCTGCGTTTGGTGGTCCCTATGTAGACTTGTCCACAGCTGACGTGTTTCTATGAAATCCATATACTGAAATACAATGAACACTGACCGCATAGGGAAGCTGATGAGGAAACACAACATACAAACTATCTACAGACCCACCAAGAAAATCCAACAAATGCTATGTTCAGCAAAGGACAAGAGGGATCCTCTCACCTCTGCAGGAGTCTACCATATACCATGCAGCTGTGGACAAGTCTACATAGGGACCACCAAACGCAGCAGCACAAACACGAATCAAGGAACATGAAAGGCACGGCAGACTACTTCAACCAGAGAAGTCAGCCATAGCAGAGCACCTGAGAACCAGCCTGGACACAGCATATTATTTGAGAACACAGAAATGCTGGACCACACCAACAACCACCATGTCAGACTACACAGAGAAGCCATTGAAATCCACAAGCATGTGGACAATTTAAACAGAAAGGAAGAGACCATGAAAATGAACAAAATCTGGCTACCAGTATTAAAAAAACTCTAAAATTACAACAGCAAAACAACAGAGAGGAAACAACCAGGCACAGATTAACACCTCCCAGCAAGAGATTTTCCCAGGCTCAGGCAGGCCTTCAAATGCTAATGAATGTGATCAGCTAAACATTCACACCTAACTGCAGCAGGGAAGAGTTCCTTGCCCCACCCCAGCCATTCCACAGATATATAAACCCATTGTCCTAATTCCAACAGACCTCACTACCTCTGAGGATGCTTGCCATAGATGCAGGCGAAACGTCAGGAGAAATGCCTCTAGAACATGGCCCTATAGCCCGAAAAAACCCACAAGAACCTATTTGTTGTAATGTTTATTTACATTTTAGTTAACTATGTCTTTTAATTTTTCATCGCATTCATTAATTCTTTGTAGTAAGCTCACTATTATTACTGTGCTTTATTGCGTATTATTGTACCAAAAGGCTTGCCTTTTTATGTGTGCAAACTGCCCTGAGTCCCTGTGGGGAGAGAGGGCAGTCTAGAAATAAAGTTTTATTGTTATTACCATTATTGTGTAGACAGGTTGGTTTTAGGAATTTTAGAGCAACAAAAACAAAGACCAGTATGGTAAGAAGCCATTTTATTGAGAAGAAAATACAGATATGAAAGTAGTACAGAAAAAGTGTAGACTTTTTAAAAAAAATACATCTACTGCAATCAACAGGGTGAGGTAGTTTTTGATTCTGGTTGTAGGGCGTCAGCATTTTGCTTGGGACCTGAAACAGAAAATAAAAACCCTCCAATACCATCAGATAAAAATTACTGTAATTATTACATACTACGTAAGAGCTGTTTTGCAGTGGAACTCTCTGCCTCAGAGTGTGGCTGAGGCTTCTTCCTTGAAGGCTTTTAAACAGAGGCTATATGGCCATCTGTCAGGGGTGATTTGATTGTGCTTTTCCTGCAGAAAGGGGTTCAACTAGATGGTCCATGTGGTCTCTTTCCAACTCTATTATTTTAAGATTCTATGTTTACTGTGCTTTAATTTTTGTTTCAAATAATAATAATATATTAAAATGCATAAATACAGAAAAAATACAAATAGATACACTAAAACGTACCTCCATAAAAGTTACACAACAAAATGTATCTCTACAAAATACATACTAAAACACACAAAACAGATCAAACAAATTCATGTTTAATTACTGTCTAGGTAGGCCTGCCAGAAGAGAGGTCTTGACATAGTTTTTAAATTCCAACAGCTCACATTGCAGGGCAGCCGATGAAAAGGTCCTCTGAGTAGTGGTTGCCAGTCGGGTTCTGGATAGTTGGAGCAGACGCCCCCCAGAAGACCAAAGTGTGTGGGGTGGATTGTATGGGAGAAGGCCTTACTTTGAGGAAACCTGAACCCAAAATATTTAGCACTTTAAACATTTAAAATATATTTTAATGTGTATTTTAATATAGGTAAAGGTAAAGGTAGTCCCCGGACATTAAGTCCAGTCATGTCTGACTCTGGGATGTGGTGCTCATCTCCATTTCTAAGCCGAAGAGCCAGCGTTGTCCGTAGACACCTCCAAGGTCATGTGGCCGGCATGACTGCATGGAGCGCCCTTACCTTCCCGCCAGAGCGGTACCTATTGATCTACTCACATTTGCATGTTTTCGAACTGCTAGGTTGGCAGAAGCTAGGGCTGACAGCCGAAGCTCACGCTGCTCCCCGGAATCGAACCTGCGACCTTTCGATCAACAAGCTCAGCAGCTCAGTGCTTTAACCCACTGCGCCACCGGGGGCTCCGTATTTTAATATATGTATGCTCTAATCTGTGCTTTTAATGAATGCATTTTAGTATAATGGTGTATTTTAACTATGTTGTGCTCCGCCCATAGGTGGGTAGTAAATAATAATAATTATACTGGCTCTGAATTGGGAGATCTCAAAACATGGCCATGTTTTGTAAGGGAAAATAAAGTCCTTCAAGTAACTTGAACCCAAGCTTTACAAGTGATAACTCACAGCAGTGCGGTGCCAACAAGGGAGCTGGGTCCTTGTTGTAAAGAGGAGGTACAAAACTTAAGGACCCCAGACATCTGAATAAGTGGGTAACAGCACTTACCTGTTTTGCAGAACTTGGTAGCCCAGAGCCATCTTCTGGGATTCCAAGGATCTCATTAAAGCTGCATATCTGCAAGGAAACATCCACATTTAGCATCCCATGTCCTCCAGCCAGCTGTGCTGTGTGCCTACACCCGTGTCCCATATTTCTGCCCTTCAGCTACTCTGGCAAGTCTCATTGTATGGAACAAAGAGTCCTTTCCTTGAGGAAAAAAAGTCTGTGTTAAAAGAAAGTGACTATTATTCACAAGTAAATTGGAAAGCTGAGTAGAAATGGGCGAAGCTCTTAGTTTTTCAATTCTACATGGCTCAAATAGTTATGTTGGCCTATCATATAGGATGAAGTCACTGTCATACTGCCCCCCTCCTTGAATCTTCTCTCATTTCCAAATAAAGCACTGCATTGTGTATTTCTAAGGGTAGTGGCTGCATTCTTGTTTGTTTATTTATTTATGACATTTATATTCCGCCCTTCTCACCATGAGTGGGATTCAGAGGGGCTTACAAGTTATATGTACAAACATTTGTGTTGAAGTGTGAATGTTAACCTACAGTTATGTATAATTATAGATATATGTTTAAAAAGGGTAAGTATTTAAAATAACATAACTGGGGGGATGGTAGCCAGCTCAGCTCACTCTGAGCTGGGTTGCCATGGAAAAAGGGGAGGAGCCAACTGCGACTTGGCAGGGCAGGCATTTTAAAACTGTCAGTCTGTAGTTGGAGAACTACAGGGAAGGCTGATTCTACCATGTTGAGAATCAGGAAAGCAGTCTGTAGTTAGAGAACTACAGGGAAAGGCTGGTTCTACTGTGTTGAGAACCAGGAAGGTTTCGGCTTTTAGCCTGTGGGGTTTAGATAGGTCAAGTTGACTTATTTAGATTAGTAGTTAGTGTATGAGTAAAAAGCGGGGAGAGAAACCCAGTAAGCATCTTTACTGCAACAGAAATAACATAAGGAAGCTAGTACCTGAAGTGAGCTGTTAAGGAAAGAAACACAGTTTGAAGAAAAATAAGTTTAAAACCTGTTTGGTGGAAGGAACAGTCCTCTCAAGAGTTGTGTTATGAAATGTTATAAATGTAACCTCTAAAGAAATGTGCCTCTAAGAGTTAAGAAACATTGAAACCATTAAGCTTCTTCTATACTTCAATAAACTTGTTACAGTTTCTCTTAACGCCAGGTCTACTTTCAAGACAAGCCGCGCTACACATTGAAGAAAGACCAACAAAGTATTACAAGCTATTAGCTGTGTTATCAATTTTGCAAATCCATAACAAGTAGTAGGAGACCCTGATAAATCAGTGACATCCCTACTGCTTCTGGTGGCTTCTTTACAAGTGGTGGCATCGTTACAACATTATATTATATTATTAGCATAGCACAATGTTAGTGTTACATATAGCCATACTGTACTATACCACTGTACTGCATTATGAAAAGTACATGTTATATATATTATATTATATTATATTATTCGTTTTTTGGCTTATGTTGCTCTATAGCAGAGATGAGCATTTATCCTGTGGACTGTTAATGTGGGTCAGGGACTTTTTGTGAAGCCCTTGACCCTTTCTCTTAGAAAGTTTCCCCATTGTGAACCTGCATCTTCTGAGCAAACAGTAGCCTGAGGTCAACTTCCCAAGTCAATGGCCTTACCCTGCTTTGGAAATGGCACGGCTTTGTCCTTGGCAGCCATGGTCCAGCGGGTGCCTGTGCTTGAGGCAGAAGTTCTGGTGACACTGGTCGCAAACCAGCTTCATCATCTCTCTCTTTTTGCAACCTGGGCTGAAGCACTTGTTGGTGAAGATCTAAAACACCCCAATCCCCCCAAAGCATCAAGTTAGAACTAGGCTAAATCAAGGATCCATTTCTTATTGGTGTGATTTTTGCAATTGTTTTGGGCTGGTTTTAATTGATTCGACAGTTCCATCACTTTTTACATGTTGTGTTTTGTGAAATTTTAACTGCTTTTCTTGTAGGCTATCACATCACACATTTCAAGAGTTCGTATCCCACTTTAAACTGCCTCTTGTTAAATTCTGAGATTTGCTGTTTAGGGAGAAGCTTTTAAAATTCTCAGCCAGAGATGCCCTGGGCCTTATTAAACAACAAACCACAGAATTCTGCAGGAGGCAGCCACATTATTTAAAAAGAAATGCTAGTTCTCAAATGGGATGCTCAACTACATTAAAATATAGTTGGGGCTCCAACTAGGAAAAAGATGGGGTAATGATGCATATGGTAATATGGAATCCATATCTGTGGTTTCATTTATCTGTATGCATGCCCAGTGGAACACATCTCACCGCGCTAAAACAGTAGATGTGACTCTTAATGAGACATGCTGCATTATCACGGGGTGTCTGCGCCCTACACCACTGGAGAAATTACACTGTTTAGCCAGTGTTGCACCACCTGACATCTGCCGGGAAGTAGCAGCCAATAGTGAAAGGACCAAGGCAGAGACATCTCCAGCTCATCCCCTGTTTGGGTATCAGCCAGCACATCAACAACTTAAATCAAGAAATAGTTTTCCAAGATCTACAGAGACAGTCGCTGAAACACCTCAGCAAGCAAGAGTCCAAAAGTGGCAGGCTCAAACCCAGCACCTCAACCAATGGCCGATACCAAATGAGAGACTCCCCCCTGGGCACACAGAAAACTGGGCGACTTGGAAGGCGCTGAACAGACTGCGCTCTGGCACCACAAGATGCAGAGCCAACCTCAAGAAATGGGGCTACAAAGTGGAATCCACAACTTGCGAGTGTGGAGAAGAGCAAACCACTGACCACCTGCTGCAATGCACCCTGAACCCTGCCACATGCACAATGGAGGACCTTCTTGCACCAACACCAGAGGCACTCCAAGTGGCTAGATACTGGTCAAAGGACATTTAATCCTTTGAGCCTGCCACTTTTGGACTCTCGCTTGCTGAGGTGTTCCAGCGAGTGTCTCTGTAGATCTTAGAAAACTTTGTTTTGTCTGTCTGTTTTGTTCTGTTAGAAATGTACTACAATTGTCTGGCCGCCCCTGACATGATAAATAAATAAATACATTTATCTGTACCTGTGGAAAATGTTATCTCTAGGAATCTGATAGGACTGCCAAGAAATTCTGTAATAATCTTTCCCTGAAAGTTACCAGAGTTGCGCTGGAAGACTTCGCAGATTCCTAAAGATGGTAGCACTCTAGATACTAGTGATATCTATGGTACCAGAAGTCAGGTAATGATGATCCAGCAGGGAACGTATCCCACTCAGACAGATTTTACTATATAATAATAACAGTAGCTACCACTCACACCCAGCAGGAAAGGTTTCAAGAGAACTTCCTTACCTTTTGCTTCTGTTTGGTAGAATCCTGTTTACAGTCTCGGTCGATATGAGCACTAACCACAGCATCTGGCCTCTCCCCCTTTCTAACAGGGATGGGAGTGTTACACAAGGGACAAACTGGAACCTGCACATCCTTTAAAAGAGAATGACTGGATTTTAAGATCAAAAAGACAGTTTGCAATATGTCAAGGTCATGTCTTGTACTCTGCCAAGACCTCGATCTCTTAAACGAGGCATATTTTGCCCAAGTCAAGACAGTGATCAAAATCTTCATCATTTTGCCAACTGTAGGTTTTTCGGGCTATATGGCCATGTTCTAGAGGCATTTTCTCCTGACATTTCGCCTGCATCTATGGCAAGCATCCTCAAAGGTAGTGAGGTCTCTTGGAACTAGGAAAGTGGGTTTATATATCTGTAGAATGACCAGGGTGGGGCAAGGAACTCTTGTCTGTTGGATCTAGGCTTCAACTGACCACCTTGATTAGCATTTGATGGCCTGGCAGTGCCTGGGGCAATCTTTTGTTGAGAGGTGATTAGATGTGCCAATTCACAGAAACTCCCATCTTCTCCACTGAAACTTTGAACCACCAACCTTCAGATGAGCTGTTCAGCCAGAACAAGGGTTTAACTCAATGCACTACCGCAGCTCCATAGCAAGTAAATAATCAAGGGAGAAAAGATGAGGGCATACCTATCCATTTGTTGCTTTCCTTCTCCCAGAACTGGTGGATTTTAGATGGCAACGTTTACCTTTTTGTATGCAGAAGAACAGTTGTGCCGGTCATATACAAAGTGGTCTTTACAGAAGACATCTCCACATGCATCACACTTCAGAGGTAGAAAGTCTATAAGGAGAAGAACAAAATTTTATTGGAAGACCTTCATAAGAGATCATATTTACAAGGCAATTTCTGAGCCATTCCAAAATTTAACATTCTTTAGAGATCCAAATGCTGTGTAAATATATTTCCAAAGAAATAGCTATGCTATTCTGACACTATATACCTATATTTATTTATTTACTATATTTTTACCTCACTCTTCTCACCTGGAAGGGGACTCAGAGTGAGTTCCAAGTTGGCAATATTCAATGCCATACAAACAACAAACAGATACAATATACATAAATATTAAAATCATAGAAATTAACAAATCATAATGTATTAGTTCATTACATTAAATCAGCTTTTTAAACCACACAAATCCAAAATCATAGTACAGGAACCATTCCAATTGTATTATGTTTTCTTCATTGCTGTCTATTTCACTGATTGTTCTCCAAAGGCTTGGCCCAAAAGCAAAGTGTTCAGTTTATTGTCGAAGGCTTTCATGGGTTGTTGTAGGTTTTTTCGGGCTATATGGCCATGGTAGCCAGTAAAAAACTAAAAAATTACAACAGCACAACAACAGAGAGGAAACAAACAAGGACATCTAATCACCTCTCAACTAAAGTTTGCTCCAGGCACTGTCAGGCCATTATATGCTAATCAAGGTGGTCAGTTGAAACATTCACACCTAGCTCCAACAGACAAGAGTCCTGTCCCACCCTGGTCATTCCACATATATTTAAACCTTTTCCTAGTTCCAACAGACCTCACTACCTCTGAGGATGCTTGCCATAGATGCAGGCGAAACGCAGGAGAGAATGCCTCTAGAACATGGCCATATAGCCCGAAAAAACCTACAACAACCCAAAGTTTTAAGTTTTTTTCTGAAGGTCAGGAGGGAGGGAGCTGATCTAATTTAACTGAGAGTTCTGTAAGTGAGGGGCCACCACTGAAATAGCCCTGTCTCTCGCCCCCACCAACCGTACCTGCGAAGGAGGCAGGACTGAAAGCAGGGCCTCCCCAGAAGATCTTAACCTCATAGAGAAGATACGTTCAACAGGTAAGCTGGGCCAGAATGGTTTAGGGCTTCACAGGCCAAAGCCAGCCATTTGAATTGTGCTCGGTAGCAGACCGGTAGCCAGTGGAGCAGGGGGGTTATAACAGGGGTTATACAGTGTATAACAGTGTATAACAGGGGTTATACACTCCCTGTACTCCGCTCCAATGAGCAATTGGGCTGCTGCCCATCGGACTACTTGAAGCTTCCGAACAGTCTTCAAAGGCAGCTCCACAGAGAGTGCATTGTAGTAGTCTATACAAGATTTAACAAGAGAATGGACCACAATGGCAAAGTCTGGCTTTTCAAGTTACAGTTTAATTTTCTTATTCATGCCTTGCAACTATTTCTAGGAAGCTCTGGTTTCCAGACATCCCATTCATTTCTGAACGGGATGTGTTTTCTGAATGGGATGTCTGGAAACCAGAAAACACTGTCAACAAAATGACATCACAATCTCATAATATGTCTGTAGTTCTTACCCAATTGTTTACAAGTCTTCTCAGAGCAATGTTCACCCAGGTTTGGGAATTCCATTACTAGGAAGTCGCCTGCTTCTCAACAAGACTGTCACCTACAAACACAAGTAGAAACTTGTAGGTGTTTTCTTTTAAATTTCCACATCCACCCCCTCCCCTTCCTTTCCTTTCCCTTCCCTCATGGCTGCCTGGGATTCAGGGCTCTGGGTCTGCAGCATGGAGGCCTGGGCTGCTGGGAACTCACACAGGAGGGATTCTGAGTGTATGTGTATATGCACACACATATCTCTACACACTTCAACTCCCAGAATACTATATTATTATACCACAATATATATAATACATCTCTAGCACATTATACCATTAAGGTAAAGGTTGTGCCCTGTCATTAAGTCCAGTAGTGTCCGACTGGGGGTTAGTGTAGACAACTCCAAGGTCATGTGGTCAGCATGACTACATGAAGCGTCATTACCTTCCCGCCAGAGCGGTACCTATTAATCTACTCAAATTTGCATGTTTTCGAACTGCTAGGTTGGCAGAAGATGGGGCTGACAGGGGAAGCTCACGCCACTCCCCGGGTTCGAACCTGCGACCTTCTGGTCAACAAGCTCAGCAGCTCAGCGCTTTAACCCATTGTGCCACCGGGGACTCCCCATTATACTATTAGTATTATATAATATATTGAACCATCATATATTATATATAATATAATAATAACAATAATAAACTTTATATCTCATCCTATTCATAATGTTGCAAAATAATATATTGTATATTGTATATACTACAATATACAATATATTATATTCATTATTAATATTACATGCAATTTATTTATTTTTTTGTCGTGTCAGGAGCAACCTGAGAAACTGCAAGTCGCTTCTGGTGTGAGAGAATTGGCCGTCTGCAAGGACGTTGCCCAGGGGACACCCGGATGAATTGATGTTTTTATCATCCTTGTGGGAGGCTTCTCTCATGTCCCCGCATGAGGAGCTGGAGCTGACAGAGGGAGCTCATCTGCCTCTCCCTGGATTTGAACCTGCGACCTGTCGATCTTCAGTCCTGCTGGCACAGGGGTTTAACCCACTGCGCCACCGGGGGCTCCATGCAATATACATGCAATATACCAACACTATTACAATATAATAATACATATTTCTATATATTATTATATTGTATATATTGTATATAAAATACAGATAGAAATATAATGATACATATAAATAATAAACACATGTAAATAAATATAAAAGGAAATGAAAATAAATATATAATATAAAATAACATAAAATATTGTATTATATGTATACTTATAATAATGTAACAAATAGCAATAATAAATCATAAAATAGATATAAATTTTATTTATTCACTTATTTACAACATTTATATGCCACCTTTATTTATTTATTTATCATATTTATATACTGCCATTCCCAGCCCAAAGGGGACTCAGAGTGGCTTACAAGATATATATATATATACATACATACAATATTATTAGCATAGCACCATATCAATATTATATATTACTATATTGCATTATACCATTATACTGTAATATTATTAGTAATATTATATGTAATATAAAATATATAATTAAAATATCATATTATTAGTAATAGTATTATATTGTATTAAATTATATTATACACATTATATGTATATACAATATATTATATTATATTATTAGCATAGCACAGGAGAAAAGGTGGAACTGTTTTCCTGGCACCCTCTCTATTCATTCTAAGAATATTAGACTTTTTTTGTCAACAGTAAAACATAAAATAAGACAAAATATAGACTGAGAACCCATCCCAGAATATTAAAGGTACTCACCACGCTACCAACAATGAGAAAGCGTTTTCCTCGTTTCAATCAAGTCGCCACCACATTTATAGACTTGGAATTCATTCTGCTGAGTCATCTTCCACTTCCGCGTTTATAGTTTGACCAATCCTGCTGAACCTGTGGTGACGTCATCCGGACGCTCGACCAACCGGGATCCGCTTCCTTGTGTTGGCTGCATTTTCTGCTGAGTCACCCCGGACACGTGGAGGGTGGGGCCTCCACGTGGCCAATCAGCATTTCCTTGTTTACTCAATCAGCCTGAGCATGACGTCGCCAGAAGACATTATTTGCTGCCTTGGCTCCATGCTATGGAATTCTGTAGTTTTGTGGTACTACAACAAACTATAAATCCCAGGATTCAATAGGCTGGACTCTTGGCATTTGTCTCCTGTGCTATGCTAATAATATAATATAATAATATAATATAATAATAATATAATATAATAAGGCCGAACAGGGTATAGGGTTACAGCCTGTGTTGGACGGGGTCGCACTCCCCCTGAAGACGCAGGTTCGCAGCTTGGGTGTGACTCTGGATTCTTCGCTAAGCTTGGAACCCCAAGTCTCGGCGGTTTCCAGAGGAGCATTTGCACAGCTTCGGCTCGTGCGCCAGCTGCGCCCGTATCTTGGGAGGTCGGACTTGGCTACGGTAGTCCACGCTCTTGTCACATCCCGTATAGACTACTGCAACGCGCTCTACGTGGGGTTGCCCTTGAAGACTGCCCGGAAGCTTCAGATGGTCCAGCGCTCGGCAGCCAGGTTGCTAACGGGAGCGGCTCTCAGGGAGCACACCACCCCCCTGCTGAACCAGCTCCACTGGCTGCCAATTCGCTACCGGGCACAATTTAAGGTGCTGGCTTTAGCCTATAAAGCCCTACACGGTTCCGGCCCCACTTACCTCTCCGAACGCATCTCCTCCTACGAACCGGGAAGAGCGTTAAGATCTTCCGGGGAGGCCCTGCTCTCGGTTCCGCCGGCGTCACAAGTGCGGCTGGCGGGCACGAGAGACAGGGCCTTCTCGGTGGTGGCCCCTCGGCTATGGAATGCGTTACCGGTGGACATCAGGCAGGCCCCTTCGTTACTGGTGTTTCGGAGGAGGGTGAAGACGTGGCTCTACGAGCAGGCTTTTGGCAATTAACTCAATAATGACGGCATCGGACAAGGAATGGAAAAAGGATTTTGAGATCGGAATCTGATTCTAAGTGTGGCGTTGATGATTATGTGTTTGTCTGTATTGTGTGTCTCATACATTGTTTAGTGTTGTTTTTTATTGTAAACCGCATTGAGTCGCCGCCTCAGGCTGATATATGCGGTATACAAATAGAGTAAATAAATAAATAAATAAATAATATAATGTATTGGATATATATAATATTTATAATATTATAATGTAATGCAATATACAACTACTACTAATAATATATTATAATAATATGATATTATAATAATATGATATTATAATATGATGGCCGAAAGTGAGGAGGAGCTGAGGAGCCTTCTAATCAAGGTGAAAGAAGAAAGCGCAAAAGCTGGGTTGCAGCTAAACATCAAAAAAACCAAGATTATGGCAACAAGAATGATTGACAACTGGAAAATAGAGGGAGATGTGGAGGCCGTGACAGACTTTGTATTTCTAGGTGCAAAGATTACTGCAGATGCAGACTGTGGCCAGGAAATCAGAAGACGCTTCCTTCTTGGGAGGAGAGCAATGTCCAATCTCGATAAAATAGTAAAGAGCAGAGACATCACACTGGCAACAAAGATCCGCCTAGTCAAAGCCATGGTATTCCCTGTAGTAACCTACGGATGTGAGAGCTGGACCTTAGGGAAGGCTGAGCGAAGGAAGATCGATGCTTTTGAGCTGTGGTGTTGGAGGAAAGTTCTGAGAGTGCCTTGGACTGCGAGAAGATCCAACCACTCCATCCTCCAGGAAATAAAGCCCGACTGCTCACTGGAGGGAAGGATACTAGAGACAATGTAAGTACTTTGGCCACATCATGAGGAGACAGCAAAGCCTAGAGAAGACAATTATGCTGGGGAATGTGGAAGGCAAAAGGAAGAGGGGCCGACCAAGGGCAAGATGAATGGATGGCATCCTTGAAGTGACTGGATTGACCTTGAAGGAGCTGGGGGTGGTGACAGCCGACAGGGAGCTCTGGCGTGGGCTGGTCCATGAGGTCACAAAGAGTTGGAAACGACTGAACAAATGAACAACAACAACATAATATTTATAATATTATAATGTCATGCAATATAATACTACTACTACTAATATGATATTATAATTATATATTTATATTACATGTAATATTACAATATAATGGTATAGTACAAAAAAGCAATATTTAATACTGATATTGTAGTGTGCTAATAATATAATATGTATATATATATAGCTAATAATATAATATTGTGTGTGTGTGTATAGTAAGCTGCTCTGAGTCCCCTTTGGGGTGAAAGGGGCAGCATATAAAAGTCGTAAATAAATAAATAAAGGGGTATCAAACTGATACAATTCTGCAGTGTGGATGGTGTCTAGAGGTGCACTTACTCTGGAGAATGAATGCAGTTTGACACCATTTTGACTGCCATGACTCAGTGCTTTGGCATCATGGGATTTTTGGTTTTTAGTTTTGAAAGATTTTTGCCCTTCTCTGCCCAAAATTACTGTTGTCTCGCCAAACTGCAATACCTATTATTTCATAGCATTGAGCCATGGGAGTTGTAAGTGACATTGAAGTGCATTCATTCTCCAGTGTAGATGTACTCTAAGCCTTGGCCTGGAAATCCCAAAGTGGCCACTCTTTGCCTTAAGCCACATCCACTAGAGAGTTGCTCAGGGGCCTACACTGCCATATAATATTAAACTGTCTTGGAATGCATTATATGACTTTACACTGACCATACAATGCATTTAGACCTGGGTCAGACCCCATCTACTGTCATATAATGTTGAACTGGATTATATGAGTCCACACTGACCATATAATGCATTTTGGCCAGGCTCTGGCCCCATTTGCACTGCCATATGATGTTGAACTGCACTGAACTGCATTATATGGGTCTGCACCTGTGGTTCTTAACCTGTGGGCTGTGAGCCTCCTTCCTCTTTATTTTTAATTTAATTTATTTCCGCTCCTGTTGTTGACCAGGGCATATGTTCTGTATCAGAAACTAGAGCTGATGTGGTCTATCCAATGCAATTTTCTGAATCAGAACCCCAAACTGAATCTAACGTTGAACAAAAACTGATTTGTAACCCTTTTGGTACTAACGTTGGAGAGTGGTCCCTGGTCAAAGTGGTCCCTGGTCAAAAAAAGGTTGGGAACCACTGGTCTACACTGACCGTGTAATGGTTTTTGGCCAGGCTCAGGCCCCATTTGCACTGGCATATAATGTTGAACTGCATTATATGAGTGTAACTGCAATATATGACTCTATACCAACCGTGTAATGCATTTAGGCCAGACTTAGTCCCCATTTACACTGCCGTATAATGTTGAACTGTATTATATGACTCTACACTGACCATACAATGCATTTAGGCGATGCTTGCACCCCATTTGCACTGGCATATAATGTTGAACTGCATTATATGAGTCTAACTGCATTATATGCATCCATACTAACCGTGTAATGCATTTAGGCCAGACTCAGGCCACATTTGTATTGCCATCAAATGTTGAACTGCATTGAACTGCATCATACACTGACCATACAATGCATTTAGACCAGGCTTAGGTCCCATCTACATTGTGATAAATCTTGAACTGCTTTGAATTGCATTATGTCAACCTTCCTAATGCTGCGACCCCTTAATACAGTTCCTCATGTTGTGGTGACCCCCAACCATAAAATTATTTTTATTGCTACTTCATAATTGTAATGTTGCTCCTGGTATGAATCGTAATGTCAATATCTGATATGCAGGTTGTATTTTTATTCATTGAACCAAATTTGGCACAAATGCCCGATAGGCCCAAATTTGAATACTGGTGGGGTTGGGGGGGGGGATTTTGTCATTTGGGAGTTGTAGTTGATGGGATTTATAGTTCACCTACAATCAAAGAGCATTCTGAACTCCACTAATGATGAAATTGAACTAAACTTGGCATACAGAACTCCCATTACTAATAGAAAATACTGGAAGGATTTGATGGGCATTGAGTTTTGGAGTTGTAGTTCACCTACATCCAGAGAGCACTGTGGACTCAAACAATGATCAATCTGGACCAAACTTGGCATGAATGCTCAATATGGCCAAACGTGAACAATGGTGGAGTTTGGTGAAAATAGGCCTTGACATTTGGGAGCTATAGTTGTTGGGATTTACAGTTCACCTGCAATCAAAGATCATTCTGAACCCCACCAATGATAGAATTGAGTCAAATTTACCACACAAAAGCCCCATGGTCAACAGAAAATACTGTGTTTCCAGATGGTCTTTGGTGACCTTTGGTGACCCGTCTGACACCCCCACTCAGGGCTCCCAATGATGGTGAAAGCGCGAGGTGGGCGAGGGGGCTTTGTGCAAGGTCATGCCTCGCAATGAGATCCCCTCGCTCGCCTCGTGTTTTGGTACGGTCGTACCAGGAGCTCCAGCTTATCTTGCTATTTGTTGAGTGTTGTATGTTTTTTAAAGTTCTATGCATTTGCAGTTAGATGGCTTTCCTTACTTTGCAGTTATTGGGTCAATGACCTGTCAATTATCATTAGGTTCCCTAGTTCCGCCCCCTTTTTGGGTTTTGGAGGGAATAGGAGCCATTTTAGGTCAGTCCACACAGAGAAGTCTTTCTTACAGGACTTAAACCAGGACGTCCTGTAAAAGGCTTCATCATTTACAGCTTGGCCGGGGAGAAATAGCCCCATAGCTTGGCCAGGGATATACAGTCTCAGCACAGCTTTTGCTGGGGACTTTACAGTTTGCTGAGGAACTTACAGCCTCTCAGCTCTCTTGCTAGGGATCCAGTCCCACAGCGCTTCAGCCAGCCATCACTGGGAAGTGAACATCTTCCTCCTCCTGGAAGTTCTGCAAAGGTCTCTGTTCGGTAAGGGCCCTTCGCGGCAACCATAAAGCAGATTGGACTGGGTGTAGGGGCCCCACACCAACG